TAATAAGAATAGTAAGAATACTAATTATCACTAACTAAAGGCGCCCGCCGGCCCCGTCCGTTCTCGGAAAAGGGCCGCGGTGCATTGACTAAATTATCACTAGCAGGCGATCGTGAGGTGGCTCTGGACGTGGCGCGTCGGAAATGCTTCTCGTTAGAAATCTACAAGTTTTTTTTTTTTTTAATCTCGCATTGCGAAAGCCTTGGCGACGCGCCCCGGACAGCGCCCGGGCCGCCCGCGCCGCCCTGCGTGCGGGTCTCCGAGCAGGCGGCGGGGCGCGGCGGGGCCTCGGCGGGGGGCGTCGCGGGCAGGGCATAAGTATATGACACGGAGAGGGCGCACCCGAGGAGGAGCGGTCAAGCGGTCGGGCGGGCGAGGCGACGGGCGGGTTGGGCCGGCTCACTGGAAACGCGCCCCAGGGAGAGAGAGAGAGAGCGGCAATCAAAGGAAATTGAAGAGAAAATAAAAACAAAATAGTACGTTACGCGCGAAATTTGGCACAGAAACAAACAGAGGCGCAGGGGCCTAACAATGAGATCAACAATAAAATCGCGGTAAGGGAAGAAAAGAAGGGCGTGAGGGAGAAAGACGAGGGGGAAAAACAAAAAAGAACAGGGACTCTCCGCGGAGCGCGATAGCAGTGAACGGCCCGCAGCAAATTGCCGCTTACTTTGTCTCACTATGTTTAAGCACGTAAGTCAACAGTCTTAGAATATCCCTATCTCATACAAATTTCCCCAATCATCAGCTTGTTGATAATATTGCATTTGTACAAGGATTTCAACAAAAGAAACAACGAACTGGTACCCACAACGGAGTAGCAATAATAAAAATCACTGGTTTGATAACTCTCTTTGTGAATTCTTAAATGGTGACTCGAACAATGACTGAGATTTCTTGAGAATTCATAATATGAGGTTATAACGTTTTCTAAAAAGCAATCTAAAAGTTGTATGAACAAGAACGAACGACTTGCTTTTTTCATTGAACTTAACTTTTTCATCTTTTCAATAAAACAGAATGGAAAAGGCAACAGGGACTCCCATATCTGGTATATAGCCGCGACTAGACACAGCTTTCCGCCAAACTTTTCGTCATCACTTTCAAAGAAAAAACTAAACACAACGAGGACCACCAATAATAATAAAACACTCAAACTTAATGGAACACAAATAGACGACCTAACTAATATACGAGTTAACTTAGCACACATCACAGTCTCGGTCTTAACAAATAAGCAAGGGGGAGGGGGTAAACAAGGGGTCACGGAGGATGGCACCATCAGCACTCGGGCAGGGCGCGGAGGCCCCGCCCCACGTCCTACATGTGAGACAAACCCATGTGTTCTTGTTGGTGCTGTTGGTACTGCATCTGCTGCAGCCTCTGCTGCTCGGGGTCGGGCAGGTGGTACATGGAGATGAAGCGGTTGAGGTCGCCGGTTGGGGTGCCGCCGTTGCCGCCGGGGGTGGGTGGCCCCGTGGGCGCGCCCCCGGTGCCTTGGTTTGAGGTGTACTCCCGCTTGACGACGACGGGGCTGGGGCCGGGCGAGGGGGACACGGGCTCGGACTTGATGCTGCTCCCGCTCGGGCTGTGCGATGAGGACATCTGCGAGCCGGGCTGCTGCATCTGGTAGGGCGACCCCGCGGGGCCGGGGACGGTCGTCGGCGACGAGTACATGCCGTAGGACGAGCCGTTCATGTAGTTGAGCGAGTTGTGCTGCATCTGCCCCATGTCGTACCGCGGGTAGCCGTAGTGCTGCTGGTAGCCGCTGGGGTCGCTGGGCATCATGTAGCCGTTGGGCATGTACCCGTTGGTCAGGCTGGGGTACATGTCGCGGCCGGCTTGCTGCGCGCCGCCGACCGTCCGGGACGGGTCCTGGCCGCCGGGCAGCAGGGGGCCGCCGCCCAGGGGGTACTTGTCCTTCTTGAGCAGCGTCTTGGTCTTCCGGCGCGGCCGGTACTTGTAGTCGGGGTGCTCCTTCATGTGCACGGCGCGCAGCCGCTTGGCCTCGTCGATGAAGGGCCGCTTGTCCGACTCGGACAGCAGCTTCCACTCGGCGCCCAGCCGCTTGGAGATCTCCGAGTTGTGCATCTTGGGGTTGTCCTGCGCCATCTTGCGCCGCTGCCCCCGCGACCACACCATGAAGGCGTTCATGGGCCGCTTGACTCGGTCCACGTTCTGGTTGGCCTTGGTGGTGTTGTTGTTGTTGTGGGGCTGCTGGTGGTGGTGCTGCTGGTGGGCCGCGCCCAGCCCGTGCTGCGGGGGCATGCCGATGGGGCTTTGGTGGAGAGGGCTGTGGTGGCCCAGGGGGCTGTGGCCCAGCGGGCTCTGCAGGGGGCTCTGGTGGCCCAGGGGGCTGTGGTGGCCCAGCGGGCTGTGCGACGGCTGCACGTGGTGCTGGTGGCCCTGGTGAGCACCCTGGTGGGCGCCTTGGTGGGCACCTTGGTGGCCGCCCTGATGCCCGCCCTGGTGCGGCTGGTGGCCCATCTGCGCCATGGGGTGCTGGTGGTGCTGCTGTTGCAGCGGAGGCGACAGCGGCGGGGGTTGGTGCTGCGGCTGCTGCTGCATGTGCATGTGTCCGTGCAGCGGCAGGTACGACGTGTGGCCGTGCACGTGCAGGCCGTGGTGCGGGGGCACCGTCGCGTGCAGGCTGCCTCCCTTGAGGTCCGTCTCCATGGTCAACATATCGTCTTGTGCGTACAGCTTGGCAGCTTTACACAACAATCACAAAGGTAAACTTCACTATCACAACATAACACTCCTCCTGCTCACTCGCACTCGCGGCGGTTCGTTCACACAATCACTGGTTTGTTTCACTGCACTGTCGCGACGCGTTGGCGGGCATGCGTGAGCCGCGCTGGTATCTCGGCTCGCTCGGCTCGGCGGCACACACGTACGTACAGGCGCGCGTCCACCCTGGTCGGCGAGCGTCCCTCGTCTGGAGGCCCAGGCGGTCCCTCCCGCCGCCTGCCTCCCCCCGCCCGGCCCG